TTCATCTATTAAATGTTCTTCATCAACAAAATTATTTTGAAATCTTAATAATTCCTCGTCCGTTGCCCTCCTCTTCAATGCCTTATAAAGTTTATGTATCCAAGAATTAGTATGAAAATTGTAATTACCTCTACGATACAATCCACCACATCTACATAGTTGCATTGGCATATTATTATATTATATTAAGTTAGAATATCTTTATTCATCATTTGTAATTTGAAATGCCTGTTCAAAATTGATATGAAACATTTTGTTAATGTCTTTTGAATTCATATTCACGTAGAAAAAAGAATATGGAGCAAAATTCACTGCTTGATGATACATATCTAATAATTGCTGTTTGTCAACAATGGCGCTATTTTCTTCAATAAAACTCATTAATTCACTTGCATTTTTCAACCTAAAAATATATAATGAACTGGCATTCAAACGAATGATAGGCGCTAAAACATTGTATTTTTGTGTTGAACAAATTACACTTACTGCATCGTGCCTGCCTCTTGTAAATAATCCATGTAATAATTTACTATATCTAACAAATTTAGGGTCGTCTGCGTGGTCATCTATAACGATTAATATTGAATGTAGTTTCTTTATCTTTTTAGATTTCATATAATTAATTATTTTCTTCTGTCTTTCAATTACATTTTCTAAATCACTTGGATTATAATTATCAAAATAAATTTGTTCTTTTTCATCATCCACGTGCAATTCATCCCTGATATATTTTTTAACTTCTGTAAATGTAGGGTCGTTATGGACGCTGGGTGAAAATATAAATATTCTTGCAAATGAATTTCTATAAACATTCAATATTAAATTTTGAATAAGGACAGTCTTACCGCCTGTCGAAGAAGCAACTATAATACTTCTAAATGGTAATTTTGGCACGTGCTCATATTTGGATTGCTTGAATTCATATTCAGTTATGTTTATTGGTTTTATTATTGGAACATCTGTCATAGTTGATATTAAAGATATATAGAAAATTATATTTAAAAATTAACTTGTAATTAATATTAAATGGAACATCATTTTTATGATATGCTGGTGGCGAATATCATAAAAATGGAACAGGTTTTCCATTGATTCAATCAATAAGCATTGAATCTAATTAGTTTGTATCTCGCTTGCGTGTTGCAGTGAAACCCCAGTGCTGAGCCCTCCTAATATTCTAAAATGCATGAAATAATAAGATTAAATAATTTAAATAATTATTTTATCTTATTATTATATGACTGTTATCCATTGCAATTGTTGTAAAACTTATGATGACAAATATTTATTTAAACATCTAAATTCAAAATATCATCAGAAATTTGTAGAATATAGATGGAATAAAGACGATACAATGAAAAAACTGTACAACTCTAGGAAAAAGAACTTTTTTCCTAGAGTTCTAGAACTTGAAAGAACTTGATAAGTTCTTTCAAGTTGTACAAGAAAAGAAAGACAGAAATTAAAAATAATTTATCTTATTATTTAATATGAAAGGGAGTTTTTTAGATTATATTAATATAATAGATGAAATGGAGAATATAGAACAAGTACTAATAACTGATAATAGATGTAAAAAAATATGTTATTTTATTTTAGAATTAATTAAGTTTTTGATACAATATATTAAAAATATAAATATTAATATAAATGCCAAAAAAGAAAAACAAAAAGAATAAGATAGGTTTAAGTGTTTCTTCAACAGATGAAGATAGCGGAGAAATTGTTAAAGAAATATCAGTATTTGAGATTGCTTGTCCCACATGTAAAAGAATGTTAGAACTTAAAAATGAATTAGAAATAAAAAATAATAAAACATGTAAATGTTCATGTATTCCAACAAGTTTCAAAATAAGTAAAAATGATAAGAAAATGAGTATTGATAAAACTAAAGACAGTATCAACTTAGAAACTGATGTCCATAGTATAACTTTTAAATTTGGTAGGCAAGCAACACCAACCGATAATAATGAAAATGAAACTCAGGAAACTGTTAAACAAATCATGAAAAATTAGTATTTAAAGAGTAGATTTAACATAATTGCACTTTGTAAATATATAATTAAATAAATAATTATCTAAATAAATATATAGTAATGTCTGAAAATGAGAATTACACTATTAATGATTTAATGAAGAAGATAACATTAATTGGTAAAAATATCAAAACCTTAAATGATATGATTAAATCGATTGATGACAAAACGAAACCAGTTGAACGCAATGAAGATAAAGAAAAAATCGAAAAGATATTTCAAGCAAAATCTATAGGAAGACCAACGGGTGATTATCCTACAAAGCAAAAGAAATACTGTGATATGTTGAATACAGGAAAAATCAAACAACCAAAGCAACAAACATTAGAATTTTATAAAATTTCAAAAAATGATGATGGAGTATATGTATTATTTGAATAATTAATATCTAAATAATTCTAATAATATGAATTTATTAGAATTATTTAGCGGAACAAAAAGCGTTGGAACCATAGCAAAGTCGCTTGGATTTAATGTGATATCATTAGACTTGAAAAATGCTGATATCAACACTGATATTTTGGAGTGGGATTACAAACAGTTTGACAGAAACCATTTTGATTTTATTTGGAGTAGTCCCCCATGCACTGAATACAGCATAGCAAAAACTAGGGGAATTAGGAATATCGGATATGCAAATCGTATTGTCTTAAAAACTATTGAGATTATCAAATATTTCAATCCTAAATATTTTGTAATCGAAAATCCACAAACTGGATTATTGAAACATCAGGAGTTTATGAATGAGTTTGAATTTAAAGATGTAGATTACTGTAAGTATGGAATGCCTTACAGAAAACGCACTAGGCTATGGAATAACATTACAACTTGGAAACCTAGAGATTTATGTAAAAAGGATTGTGGCAACATCAGGAATAATAAACATATTGAAACTGCACAACGGCTACCATCAAAAACCAAAGCAGAATGGGGAGACAATCCAGTATTTCATAAACAGGAAGATTTATATAAAATACCTAGCGAATTAATTTGTGAAATCTTAGTGAGTTTGACGGATTAGGGATTAACATAGCTTGTTTTTGGATTAACATAGCTTGACTTTTGGATTAACATAGCTTGATTTTTGGATTAACATAGCTTGATTTTTGGATTAACATAGCTTGATTTTTGGATTAACATAGCTTGATTTTTGGATTAACATAGCTTGTTTTTTGGATTAACATAGCTTGTTTTTTGGATTAACATAGCTTGCTTTTTGGATTTACAGTGGGCTCACATTCTTAAGATATCTGTTATTTTTTGATTCGTCCAAAAACCATACTATAATAATAACATTTATACCCTTATATGTTATAATTATAATGTAAGTATAGCGTTTTATATATTGAAGATAAAATCCTACAAGGGACACACGAGCGTTAGCGAAGCTCGCAAGCTATGCGACCACGCCCCAAACAAATATATGATAAAAGTGATGAAACGAAGGAGGAGAGTGATGTTGTCGCTGTTCTATTTTTTGTCCGGGAAATGGACAAATCGTTTTTAGACAGTTCGAATATTTTTTTGATGACAAATATTTTTTGCAATATATTTTGCAAAATTTCTTTTTTTGAAATGGATGAGGTGAGGAGATTGAGGAAATGACATTTTGAGAGGTATATGATGAAATGAATGAGGCGAGGAGAAAGGAGAAAAGGATGGCGAAAATTTTGGAAAAATGATGATAAAAAAACGGATGAGATGGACAGAAAGGAATGTAGAAAAATGATGAAAACAAATAAGGGTAGAAGATGGAAGATGAAAAAAAGTGTAGGGGGGGGTGTATGTATGAAGCAATTTATTTGCGGGGCGAGGCCCCCGACTACTGGCAGCCCCCCCATGGTGATCAAAAAGGTGATGATCCAACTGGGGGCAAAAAAATCTAAAAAACAGCAGGGGGTTGGGGGGGGGGCAGCAGCCCCCCCCCCCATGATGATCGAAGTAAAAAGTAGCGGGGGGGGTGCGGCAGCCCCCCCATGATGATCAAAAAAGTGATGATTGAATTGGGGCAAAAAAAAACAAAAAAACAGGCAGCAGCCCCCCCCATGATACTTGAAAAAGTTATGATTCAATTAAAGGCGCGGGGGGTTGGGGGGGGCGGCAGCCCCCCTCCATTCCGCGAGAATTGCAACTTCTCTGCGGTTGTGAGCAAACCGTTTGTCCACACATCGCGTGCTGCAATCCAACATGTCCACAAAGTTTGTTCCAAACGGCTCAATACCTCACTGTCCAACAACAGCCCTTGCGAGAGGCCCAAAACGAGGCCTCGCGAGAGGGCTCGATCTGAAGCCCTCCAACTTTGCTCTGCGCACTTGTGCAGTATGTGTGCGCGCTTGCCCCTTTAGGCCCAATGGAACAGGAAGAAGTTCCAAGGTTCTGGCAACCCACTGCATCAAATATATTTGTTATATAGTTGTTCCGCGCTTGGGGGGAACAACAGGGGGTCAAATAGGTCTGAGCCCCGAATAAGCGGTCGAACAGTCAAACCCAAAAGGCGGCAAAAGCCAGGCAGGAACCCCCAGCCGCATCACCGAGTTGAGAACAGTTTTAGGAGATCTTTGAACTTGTAGTAACACCCTGCTGTCATGGAAAATGCCCAGGTAGGTACCCCGTACAAGCCTCTTACACGCTCCTCTCCAAACTCTGGGCGCACATGAAACGCCTTAGAGGGCTGAACATCTTTAGTGGGAAACCGCAATATATACATACATATATATATATATATGTATGTGAAAACCGACAGGCACTGATCGAGTTCTATTATGTGGGTCTGATTTTGCTTCTCCTTGTCCTCTTGCGGCTACCCTCTTGATGGAACAAGCAATATTGACCTCACATATTTCAAATGGTAGTTGCTAATGGTGGAACCATTGGTAGCCCCTTTCAGTTGGCACTCTGTAAGTTTGCACTCCCACCAATTGACACTCAACTCAGGCTGGGAGAGCATTTTCAAGGCCCTTGTTGTCAGGTCCCATGCCAAACCCCGCGGAGCAGCCGCGCTCCGGAGCCGGGCGTGGGCGTGCGGAGCCGGCCCTCGGGTTTCGAAGCGCTCCGGCGCATCTCGCGGGGGTCCCTGGCGCGCATCCCTGGAGTTTTCCCGGGAGAAAGCCGCGGGGGAGAGTTTTCAAGCGCTACATTTGCTTGCTTCCATGCCCAAAACGTGCAGAAAGATAATCTTTTCTGTGAGGGTACGGCACTTTCATGCAGAGGGAGAGGATGTCAAGGGGCCTGCGTTTGTCACTATGCCGCTATGCTTAAGCTGGCCAGGTTGGAAAATGGGGCATGCATTCTATAGAAACGGAATCCGTATTGTATTCGCATACCTCTCATAGGCAACATGAGAGCCACCATGCCCCGTGATCGCTGACTGTTAAAGAGGAAGAGAGGGCAGCAGCCTCCGAATAGTGGCCTCTCTCTCTCTCTCTCTCTCTTAGACGAGGGGGCATTCGGCCGCGAGGTGGTTTTTGGTTTTGAGAAACCTGGGGGAAAGCAAACGCAAAGTGAAGCCACTTCAAGTTGGATGGCTGCTAGGACATAGGATGGTTGCTTAGGACGATGTGAGACACACCCACGAACATCAAATTCGGGCAAATGTGAAGTACCTGCAAAGCAGGCACTCCCCCCCCCCCCGCAACCCTCTTGCATCGCCCTTCCCAGTTTCTGGGTAGCCTGGTAAGGCCTTTCCTTGATTGGTGGCCCCTGACTGGGGAAGGTTCCGTGGCAAGCGGCCGAGAATTCGTGAATGAGTTCAAGGCTGTCTCATACCTTTAGCTGGCAGGGGCCTAAGATGGAGTCTGGAGGCCCCAGGTGCCAAAATAGAAGCTCTGACGAGTGGCCTGTTGTAAAGGTTATACATACATATACATACATACCTATATATGTGTATATATATATATATATTTGTGTATATAGGCAAGCCAGCAGTCAGAATATATGATTTTCAGTAAATGGATTTACAGATTTCAAGAGTTAAACAGGGGGGTCTTTTTGCCACCTTTTGTGGAAAATTGTTCGACCCCTCATAGTGAAGGATTCCTTTTTAAGGAGTTGCCAATTTTCTGACAAAAGGTGGCAACAAGACCCCCCTGCAGTTAACAGGCATTCCCTCCCATGGCCTCACATCGCCCCTGCCTCCTTCTGGCGGGGCTCTTTCGGATCGCCTCCACGGGAAAGACCGGGGGAGCCTTCAGCACGCACACGGGTGCCTGGCGTGGGTGCGCGGGGGAAATTTACCGAAACGCCGCCCACCTTTTTTTGCCGGAAAAAGCCTCAAATGTAACCGGTATTGCCTGGCCTCAATTGTGGTATTTGTTTAACGGGCCGGTAAACCCACAATCAATCTGGGAGAGCTTCCGCGCAAGCGGGAGCTGCAGACTTTGGGCGATTTCGCAACCAGGAAACCATGCACAAATCTCTCTGAGCAAAGTGGGACAGAATCTGCAGGGGCAGGGGCTCACACCCCAAGCTGTCGATTTCTTTGCACCGTGCCAGCACTAAAGGGGGGTCCGCAACAAGCCAAGTAGGTAGCTCACTACCTAGCTCACTGACAAACACGCTCACTCGCCAACTGAGTAACTCGCTCACTCACTAAGGAGCTAGCTAGCTGAGCCAAGCAGCTGACTGACCAAGAAACTATCTTGCTAACCACCCACTTCGCCTTGGCCGGGCGCCGGCTGGGGCTGGACAGCGTGCGGCTCGCCTGAGATCAGCTACTTGAAAGCACGAGGAGGAAACCTTGCCAGGATTCATGCGTCATGGTCCTTGGGGAGGTGTAGGGCCCTACGGATGCGCTAGATAATACAAGTGAACCAACAACACCCAACCACAAAATGCAATTTGCGCCCCTTTTGCAATATTGAGTTGGCATCCACGGAACTCCACAGGAAGCGTTGCAATTCAATCACTTGTCAGATCCCAACTCAATCCGGGCAGGTAGCAATATGTAGCCCAGCCTGAAGACCACAGTCTCTGGGAAATACTCTCTGTCCGCTTCCACGATTGTTGGACAAAGAGCAACTCGCTAAAGACGCGTTATAAAGACGCGTTGGGCTCTGAGATACCGTGAGAATCAAACCATCCTCAAACCCTTCGGTTTGTCCACACCCAGGTGTTTAGTCCCATCCCGCTGTTCAGTCCGGATCCAAAGGCCGCCGGGCCACCAGCGTTACAAAGCATCTGAAGCCAATGTAACTCTGCAAAGAAGTAACTCTGCAAACAAGTGATATACATCGGCATTTATGCGATTAAACATGACATTGGGTTCTGGTCATAATGCGTACGTCTGAAAATGATGTCAAAAGCGGTCCAGTTTTATCAAGGGCTTATTTGGAGGAAACCGGGATTGGGAGGGGTACATCCTTTGTGCGGCCATGGTCATGGCACTATTAATCCTTACCTGAGATTGGTTGTCCAACATCCCAATTGAGGGGTCCATGATTCCCTCTGGCATAAAACCTTGATATAAGGTTTACATACACAATTTTCCGTCGGGGAGAAACTTCTTACTTGGCCTAACTCTGGGGGTCTCTGGGGCAGGCAAAAAAAGGAACAATGTTTAGATTCTGATCTATGTTTAGATTCTGATCTGTATTTAGCCTACCCTAAAGCAACGAATGTGTTTGGAGGAGACACCAGAAACTCGAGTTTTTATTGCGGGCTCGCCGAGCCGCGCTCCGGCTGTCGCTCTTCGCGTTGCGCAGCCGCGGGAGCAGCGACTGCGTCCATTCGGAATGGCAGGGCGTGGGTTCGGAAAGCAAGTGGCACAATGGGCACAAACAATTTGAATGGGGTTGTGCGCCAGCCAAAAAAAAAAAACACCTCGAGTCATGATCATAAGAGAACCTTCAGCCATTTCCATTGCCCTCCCACACGCAACCAAGTTGGCTTTAAGGTACACTGCAACCCGAAACTTCCAGGTTGCTTCCCGTGGGACCATGGCTGGTTGAAACAAAGGATGGTTGCACATCAGCCTCGGTTGGCCGCGTTTCCGGGAAACGCCGCTTAGAGACCCGCCCAGGAATCTGCGCCGTGGCACCCGAGCGATCCAACCGCGTGCGACAAGGAAAGTCCAAAATCTCCGTGCACCAAGCTGTGCTTAGGTTTTTCCTTGTTCACTTGCAACAAATTACGGATCTCACTAGGTCTCGAGCTTTAAACACCCCTCTTCGCCCCAAACACTGCCATCTGAAAGTCCAATCCATCTGTCTATACCTATATCTCTATCTCTATCTCTATCCCTATCTCAATCTCAATCTCTATGTCTATATCTCCATATCTATCTAGCGATCGATCCATCGATGGATCGATCTATCTATCTATCTAGCCATCCATCTATATCAATCTATCTGTCTAGCCATCTATCTATTTATCTATCTATCTACTCTAGTCTAATCTAATCTAGCCTAATCCATTGTAATATATCTAACCTATATCTATCTATCTATCTATCTATCTATCTATCTATCTATCTAATTATCTATCTATCTATCTGTCTGTCTGTGTGTCTGTCTGTCTGTCTGTCTGTCTGTCTGTCTGTCTATCTATCTATCTACCTATCTTATCTATCTGTCTATCTATCTGCTTGCCTGCCTGGCTCTCTGTGTCGTCTGTGTCTGTCTGTATCTGTCTGTGGCTGTGTGTGTGTGTCTATCTATTTCTTTATTTGTTTATCTTTTTATATATCTATCTATCTATCTCACTCATTCATTGATTTATCAACCTACCTATCTATCGATAGTGTCGGTTTCCGTTTCGCCATACCAAATACCCTCCGGCAGGTTAGCCCACTTTTCCTGGGGGATTTACCAGTAGTAGTCTCCTTTTCGAGGAGCAGCACTTTTTCGGGATAGATTTTTAGGTAGATAGATTAGATAGATCGATTAGATTAGATTAGATTTAGATTAGATTAGATTAGAGGAATATATGCAGACTTCTGGCGGGTTGGAATCCCAAACACCGATTGCGGGCAAGGCAATAGCAGGGCCAATCACAAGTCACGTGCAAGTGGGGATGTGGAAACAGAGCGCCATTTTCCTTGAAAAAGCTTCAACGTGTTTCATGAGTGGGTATTGGGTCTCGTGAGGTCAAATCGTCCAATATAGCTTCTGGCACACATCCTGTGAATTACCCTACCTAAAACCCCATGAGTTTACCGGGCTGCCCTCAGATCCCCCGCCAAACGTTTAACTTAAATGGAGACTACAACTAAACACTAAAAAGCTAAAAGGCTCAGGGGATGTCTGGGAGCCACCAAGGTGAGAGGAATCGTCTTTGTGGCACCACGATTTTGTGGTTTCCCCTATGGTTGAACAATGGGGGCAGGGCGCCGCTGGCTTAAGAGGGAGGAGCTCGGGCTCTGCCCATGCCAAGACAGGGACCAACTCAAATCGACACACACCCAAGCTTGCAGTTGCCATTGAACCTTGGGTGCTGTAGATCCCCCAGCAAAAAGTTAAGCTGGCTAAAAGGAAATATGAGGGGAATCCAAAAAGTTAAAGTCTAAAGACACAACCCAAAAGCAGCACAGTGGAATGGTCATCAATCCCGCTTAGCCAAACCGTTTCAAAAGTACGGTGCCAGCCCAAAAGGACAAATAGCATGGACAAAAGCATGCACCAGTTGCTAGGTGGATCGGCTTCGTCCATCCCAGGGCCTGCCGCACTTGCTGCTCCAGACCCCTGCACCGGTCATACCTTGGGCGTGCGGGAGCCGGATCTTGATCCCCTCCTTCTAGGTGTCCTCTCTCAGCTTATTGCAACTCAATAGTAAATCCCCTGGGTCAAAAGCGAGCGTCCCATTGTCGGGGAGATGCCTCGCTGTTGGGGGGAAGTTCCAGCCGTCCTGCAAATCACGCAGCCCCTGAATCTGTGTGTTCAGATTCTGTTCCACCTGTAGCAAACCTTAACAAACAAAATAACATTGGAGAAGGGATGCCACTTAACATGATGGACATCTGGCCGGGGAAAAATGAGGGAAAAGCGACGGGTGCCACTGAATGGCGTGAGCAACCACAAGGGAAAACCCAACTGCAAAAAACACAAAAGCAGGGCGGCCGCAAAAGGGACAGTGCTTTTCCACCTGACGCTGAATTCGCATTCTGACGCTGCATTCCAAAAACCTGTGACGCCGCATTCCCTGACGCCACATTTTCCCATGAAGCCGCATTCACGGCTGACGCCGCATTCTGACGCCACATTCCCTGACGCCACATTCCTCCCTGACGCCGCATTCCCGGCTGACGCCGCATTCCGACGCCACATTCTCTGGCGCAAGATTTTCGGCTGACGCCGCGTTGTGACTCCGCCTTCCCCGACGCCACATTCACCCCTGACGCCGCATTCCTGGGTGACGCCGCATTCCGCTGACGCCACATTCCTCCCTGACGCCGCATTCTTGGCTGACGCCGCATTCCGACGCCACATTCCCTGACGCCACATTCCTCCCTGACGCCGCATTCCCGGCTGACGCCGCATTCCGACGCCACATTCCCTGACGCCACATTCCTGGCTGACGCCGCATTCCCCGCTGACGCCGCATTCTGACGCCACATCCCGCCCCTGTGGACCGGACCGCCATGCTGGTTTCCAAGACTTTTGTATCTACAAGGAACTTGAACCCTTGCCCTGAGGCTACATCTTTCGCAAGCGATCTCAATAGAAGAAGCGCCCATTACCTTCCCAATCTCTATCCGAATGATGAGCGTTTTTCACAGCTGATGCATGCAATGTGTCAGGCGCAGCTTGCTTTGAAGCGCGGTCGAAAGATCAAGCTATCATCGCTGGTCGGAGATCCAGCTATCGTCGTCGCTCGAAGGCGAATCCTGCTCCAGGAAGGGCGCCGTAGTAGACAGTCCATCTGTGTCGCGCCCGGGCAGCTGTCCGGCGACCCTCAGTGACGCACCCCGTACGGGAAATTCACGAGACCTCTTGTAGACTGTACTGTTGCTGATTTGCGCCAACTGCTTCACACGCGCATCTCCAGAATAGTAGTCGCCGATGACGATACTGTACGGAAACAAGAAAACATTTTGTGGTGATAAGTGCAAGTCTCATGCAAATACTTTTGGCTTGCCCAGTGTACCGTGCACGACGAGTACCACCACGGCTGGCCATGATATCATTCACGATGAGTATCACGATCCCGCTTTGTATATAACTGCAAATTGCAGTTGGTCCCCCACGTAGAAGAAATCGTAAAGAAAATGCTTGGTCACCAGTGTGATGCTTCTGCGATGGCCTTTCTACTCGCCCTCCACCGGAACCTTTCTAACAGAGAATCTAGTGTCTCCTCGGTCCGATTGATCTTCTCGATAAAGCGCGAGGGCAGATGTATATTGCGTGATTCGAATAGCACCATTGGATAAAAGGAGTGTCGACATCTTTGCCGCAAATGATGGCGCCAAGCTGCCAAGCTCAAGTTTCAAGAACTTGCGTCCAATGTTCACATCTGTTCGGTAGAAGGTCATGTAATCGCAGTTGAGGCCGAGGGCGATGCAACGGAGTATTGTGTCGCTGACGAAGGCAATGTCCTTCTGATGGCTGACACCTCTGAACTGCTCTGCTTTAATACCAAGTATATTGCAGGCGGTCCAAATCCGGTACATGATGTATAGCCCTCTCAGCTGCAGGAAACAAAAGAACATTTCTTCGTCCCTGTGGTTTGCGCTTTTGAACCTCACATTCTTGAACTTAGGAGCGGCAGTGACCTCTTCATAGGTTGGCGGGATTGGAATATTCTGTTCATCAACATCTTTGAAAATCCAATCGTCCCTCCCGTTGATCGAGATGTAGGGACAGTATAGTCCGCCTTCTTTGCCAGGCTCCTTGACCACATCTGCCTCGTTGTTGGCGAACACCTTTCATACTTTGAAAAGCCTTGCCGGCTTCGTCAACGCAGATGGCCTTGACTTGCAGGAGATGAATTGCGTCCGCATCCTCCTCTGGGTTGTCCGGACAAACTCCCGGGTCTTCATCGTCGATGTCCGTCCCGATATCCGACGGGATGTACGATCTGCCTGCAGACCGTTCCTCACTCATCTCCTGGGTGTCGGGTCGTTCTTCCTCGGCGACGAATCGCTCAGCATCTTCCTTTGCTTCTCGCTGAGCTTGTTTCACTTCCTCCGTCACATTGGTGGTGTCGGATGGTTTTGGCTCGTCGTCATCCACATGGATCACGAACTTGCCGGTGGAAATGAACTCACATTCGCATGCCGTGCAGTAGCAAAATCCCATTTGAATAATGATAGCGCACGCTGGGCATACTCTGTTGGAAATGCTTGATGGGTCGTTCTCGCGGTAGACGATGAATCTGCTGAGCAAACAACGATTTGCCCAAGGCTTGGCTTTGGGCACTCCGATGTTGACGCAAGCATCGGCGTCCGCTGAGTCTTCATCGTCCAAGAAACTGTTGAGGTTTCCAAGAAAGTCCGCCGGGGTCACGCCCACAGCGTCCTTAAATCCTGGACAGATCTCGCTCTCGACGGCGCGGGAGTACATCCGCCTAACCTCTTTCACACGCCCTTTCTTCGTGGACTTGAAGCTCCAGATTGCACTTATCTCTTTGAAGGGAATGGTCTCTCCCTCTTTGATTGCACGTAGATGGCGATGAGGTCAGCTCCCTCTTTGACGTCGTGCATTACAGTCTTGGTCGAGATGTTTTTGCTGTCCCAAGGTGCAAATACTCCGAAGTCTACTGCCAGCCTTCGCGCACTGTCATTGCCGCCAGGAACGATACCTCTCAAAATGATACCTTCCAGGGCTGATGGCTTTGTCACGTGAAATGCTCCGCCCAAGCGATCGGACATGTTCGGGAACAAGATGTTTTGCAAGGTTGAGCAGGACGAGCGAATCCGAAATCCGAATGCCCTGATGACGCTCGAATGCACCATGGTTGCCACCATCCGCCATGCTCGCGACGAATCCAGTCAATGTCGTTCTTCGCCCATCCAGCAGCTATGAGACCCGCCATCGTCTCCATGTCGATCTCCTGATCAAACTTCGCAGCAAGGATCTGCAGTCTCGGCTTTCGTGCTTTCCGATCCTCCGATCTGATGCACTCGGCGACCATTTGAAATTTGTCGCTCTTCTTGTACCGATCCTGCGGGAACGCGCTCTCGCGACTCAGGATGTGGTCGATGTTCACCCATCCTCCAATAGGGTTCCCCCACTTTTGGCCAATTTGATGTCGTAGGATCTTCACCAGTGCTTTCGACGTATGGAACAAGTCTTGGTGGTGAATGTTAGATCCAAACGCTGTGTACTCGTTGTACGAAACTTGTGTCTCTGCTCTGCGTGTTCATGACTTCTAAGTGTAATCCCTTTGGCAGCGTGCTGGTCATACATGAATACCCTTGTACACCTTCGCAAACTGCCCCATCACCGGGTTGAGGAATCAAAGAGGGGCTTGCTCCACCAAACGGATCGAGCATGCGGTTGTACTCCTTCATGGTTCCGTTCGAATTCGTGCGTAGGTCAAGTTGACCAACATGGAGTTCTCCTCCTTCTGCCAAATCAGCCATCTAGGTTCACGACGTAGTTGTACTTGTGGAACTCCTCCCTCGGATAGAAGATCGGCGCCTCCGCTTCCGGTTGATGCGGTTTGTCAGGTTCGCTGGACATCGGAGCCATTTCTTCATCATCATCATGCATTTCGATGTCTTCATCGGATGAGGGATGCCCTTCTGGAAGAAACGGCATTGTGATCTTGCCACGTGCCAAGTCAGACCCAATTGCTCTTGCAATGTTTTCTTTCCCGCACTTCATGCAAATCTGCAGTTCGCCAGCTCGATCGCAAAGATCCTCAAACATCCGCAACAATTCTGCTCGTGTTGAGGCGATGTTCTCGACTCTCGATTGTTTGGCTTCGGGCTCCTCGGCATCATCGGGTTCACGACCACGATCAGCGTCGTCCTCATCGGACTCGCCCGCTTTCTTGTTTTGGCCTGATGAACCGGCGTCCTCGATGTCGATGAACGGGTTCGAGTACTCCAGTCTGTCCATGATGCCCCTGACGGTCCTGCTGGGAACTTCCATGTACTTGACTGCGCCGCTTCTCTTCCTGTTGAGGCCCGTCATGTGAGAAGTCATGTTCTCCCTGACAAACTTCAGGAACGTGGCTTCCAGCATTGGTCGGTCTTGGCAAACGTTCCCCCACTTTGGAAACAGAGTTCCCGCGAATGGTTATGAAACTCCATCATGCCAAGCAGGAGGGACTTCGGAAGGAGCTCATCCGGAGACAACTCGCACCTCATGCGGCAAGTGTGCTCGTGAAAATATTGTATGGTGCTAGAATTGCACGTTTTGACCTACTCAGGCAGGTCAACCGTCTGGCGAGGAACATCACCAGGTGGACAACCGACGATGATAACAAACTTCATCACTTGATGTGTTACATTCATCGCACCAAGCATTGGAGGATGATTGGCTGGGTCGGAGATTCAGTCGAAGATATGTGTTTGGCAGTTTATGCTGATGCTGACTTTTCTGGGTGCGCCGATTCTTTGCGGTCGACATCTGGCGGTCACATGAACCTACAAGGTCCCATTTCCTTTGTCCGGAAGCTCTAAGCGACAGGGATCATGGTCGTTCTTTGGGTCCATGCGAGACCACATTAGGTTGACACCAAGATCTTGAAGACGTTTGGAGTCCATGCATTCGACCGTTGACACCAATCCACCTCGTCCAATGACACTTCGTCCCTCAATCCAGGTCCGCCAAGAACTTTCCCTCAACAGGGTTCTTGACCTTATTTGTGTTCTTCCGTATGCCCCAGTCGTACAACCACTGATCACCACCCATCTTTCTTTGAGCGTCGCTTTGATTCTCTTAGCGCTCGGAGCGTTGACCTTTGTACATTCTGCAGGCGCGGCGTCCTTCGAGCTACTGGTGCCATCCTTCTTCTTTGGTTGAATCTTTCCTTCCTCATCGGTATCAGGGTCTGCTGAAGCACTGGTGACGTTCATGGTGAGTGCCATCTTCCAGCTGTCCAGCTTCGTGATCTTCGGCCATGGAGGTACATTGACTCTCTCAGCTTCCTTCTGTGATATCCTTGGTCGACCATTGTCATGATCTCTGCGATCTCTCGACCTTCTTCTTCGCGGTGATCTTCTGTTGCGACGGTGATCATCATCACCATCATCATCATCATCATCATCATCATCATCATCGGACGGTTCCTCTTCGTCGTCCTCGTCTCCATCATCATCGTCGTCAGGCCGATCAGGTGGATTTGGCCCTCCTGTTGCAGCTGGGACAGGAGCACATCCTAGACCCCCCGCGTTATTGTGATAACCGAGACCAGGTGGACCGCCATCTCCATGACCATGCCGGTTGAACCAAATCTCTTGTTTGGAATAGATCCTACCGCCTCATGGAGTTGGTCGATATGAGCCTGTATCATTGGGTCTTGGTAAACAGGAAACAAAACAGAACCCGGTCCAAGGCTGTAATCAATTGGCTTAAGAACATTGGGTGCCTGTACACTAGAACTAGATGCCGCCATTGTAGTCTGATAGAGCATTACCTGACCTTGTTGTTGCCGAGGCCCATTTGTGGTATCACTCTTACGCATCTTCGAATTGTGGCGTTTACCGGTCCTAACGGAGTCATCCCTCAGTAGAGCTCGTCCACGATCTTTTGCATCCGCCGCGATGGCCATTTGGGTGGCATTATCGCTCTCGAGTTCCTTGTTCGTCTCTGCCAACTGGTACACAAAGCTCTCTTGGATCTTGAGTTCTTGTCGTGTCTCTTCGATTTCTTCCGACATTGCAGCGATCTGGCTGAGGCAATCGGATTTCGCATCAATAGCCTTTTGTCTTGATGCTGCGAGTTCGCGAGTCACGTCGACAAACTCCTGATCCCTCAGCGTGGCGCGATCGTGTAATGCGTTTCCTTGATGAGCTCGATCTCTAGCGATCTTGATCTCCTCATTCATCTTCGCGTCGCGTTCCTGTACTGCACGTTGTCCAATCAAATACATCTCATCCCGTTCGCTCACGGCAACCCGTGTGCAATGGGCTTCTTGTTCAGCGTACCTGATAGCATCATTTGCTTTGCTCACCAATATGTTTTGTGGCTCGTCATCGATCGCCATTTTCGGTTGCGGCAACAACGCTGTCTCCAGACTCTCACGCAAACCACGAATGGTGTTCTCCTCGTTCTGCGAGTCCGTAGTGATCTTCACCTGGTAGGAGTTGATCGTTGATTGACACTGAGCGATCTCGGAAGAAGCGCTCCTTCTTTCTTGTTCAGCCTACTCTTGCTGACCAATGAGCTTGCTTCCTCGCGCCTGATTCGATGTTCAAGCAGATTCACGGTCGCGGCCATCTCCTGATGTCGCTTCTTGTACTCGAGGACTTTAAGTCGGGCTTCGTCTTGACACTCTCCGTAGATCTTCACGAGGTGTTGTGCCTGATCTTCGGATAGCTTTGTCTTCCCACGTTGAATGTCAATGTATTGAGCAGCTTCTCGAAGTTGTTCGTCGGATCTTTTGAGGATATGGGCTACTTGTTGTTCCGACACACCGGCTCTCCGCTCCAGTTCCTGGATGCGCGTGACATTGCCCTGGTCGTCACGTTCATACGACTCCTGTAGCATAGCCAAATTGCGCTTAGCCTCCTCCACTTCCTGTTTGAGGGTCTTGTTCTCCTGAGTGATCTTAGACGGACTAGAGCCTGTAGGCGATTTGGATCGCCCTTCTTCCTTTCTCACAGGACTCATGACGCCCTTAACGCTCCTTGTCGGTGTCGATAATGAAGCTGATGACGATCTCTTCTTTTCTCCGTCTTTGGACCACACGGCATGACCAACTTCCTTCCAGGATGAATGTGATAGGTCATGGATAATATCAGAACTTGCACTTTGTTGGGTGTCCGGAGAGTCTGCAATCGCCGGCACTGCAAGCATACCTGTGGAACCGCTGGAACTATCATTTCCGAATGTTGGACCTTAAACAAGGGGAAGTAACAGGGTGACCCTCAGAACCTGCCCTGAGGATGTTTTAGCCTGCGGCTCGGAGATTCTTAGCAGACAAAAACATCTACTATCTAGGGGGCCCTCTATTCTTAGGGGGACGAGAAGGAAACCCTCGAAAGAGGAGAAGGCATCATCTGCGCGACCCCCTGCTAAACTAATCCCTTCCCCTCATCAGAAAACAACCCAAACATGCCAACTGCGCAATTATAACGTCTTATATTATTAGGGGTCCCCGGTTCCAGGCGCTGGGTGTTCAGTGTTGTGTGTTTTTTTGCACTTCTGACGGGGACAGGGTCAAAGCCGAGAGGTCTAACAAAAACTGTTTTCAAGGAAGGCTCTTCTTTTCTAACAAACGCTGACTGGCTGAGGGCAGCGGGCCTCCTAGAAGAAGACCATCGATAGATCAATACTGGTTTCAAATTGCATGAACTATTCTAGTGAAGGATTGGGCTTTGACAAAAGCATCTATTATGTAGGGCGCCGTCTATGGTAAGGGAACGAAATTACCACAAACGCTCGCTGTCAGCATGCTTGCTCAACGGCATTCATTAGGGGAACCCGTGTTCTTGAGGGAACTTGGCTCCGGCGAATCGTCTTCGCAATTCGTCTTCGGGAGGGGATTCGGCTTCGGGGGAGAATTCGGCTTCGGCGAATTCGTCTTCGCAATTCGTCTTCGGGGGTGAATTCGGCTTCGGGGGAGAATTCGGCTTCGGAGAATTCGTCTTCGCAATTCGTCTTCGGGGGGGAATTCGTCTTCGGGAAATTGCCTTCGCAATTCGTCTTCGGGAGGAATTCGGCTTCGGGAGGGAGCTTGGCTCCGGCGAATTCGTCTTCGCAATTCGTCTTCGGGTTGGAATTCGTCTTGGGGAATTCGTCTTCGCAAATCGCCTTCGGGGGGAAATTCGGCTTCGGGACGGAATTCGGCTTCGGGAATTCGTCTTCGCAATTCGTCTTCGGGTTGGAATTCGTTTTCGGGAATTCGTCTTCGCAATTCGTCTTCGTCTGCGGGTGAAAAAGTGGTACCGCCCCAGCGGCTGCAATGCACAAAAGACCCCACAAACACAAGACACACACACACACACCACTGCCCCGCTATGAAGAAGCTACTCTTGGCTTGTGGCGTCTTTCTTTGCCCTTGTTTGGCCTTGGTGTTGTGATGTTTTGTCTTTTGGCCTTGTCTTTCTGTCGGACTCCAAATTGCTGGAGGGCACATTCGGAGGGAGGTTTAGGTCCAACAACAAAAAACACAGTCTTTGAAGGCGTCCCATGAAATCGCCTCCGCAACGGAAACCTGCATATCAATGATTGCTAGAAACGGGGGTGCCCTGGAGGAGCACCTTGGGGCACCGCACACGCACACACACACACACACACCATGTAGCTGCCAGGTTGTTGAATCCAGGGTCAACTGTACCTCAAAATCCTGTACCTGAAGCCGCCAAATAAGCTTTCAACACACATGTCCACGTCAGTATGTCGAAAAGACGGAAATCATGACTGAAGTGCCGAAGCTTCCCAAAGCTCCCCAAAATTTGGAAGTCCCAACCCAAACCTCCCGAACCTTCGCTGGGTGCTAAAAACAGATCATCATCGTCTTTTTGGGAACTAGGAATCAAAGCCGATCCTCACTCCTCCTTCTCACCTCTTCAACCCCCACTTCAGCAGCAGCTGCCATTCTCGGCACTCAGGTTGGGAGCCCACTGTCACCAGCAAGTCATACCTGAGCCATTCTTTTCAGTTTAGAACCCTGCCATCAGGCGGGTGAACGTCCGGGAGTATGCAGCGCATCAACTCACTCAGGACCCGGAAATACAGGATTAAATTGGCCGTGTGGGAAATGAAGGTAGGCTAAGTGCCTCCCGCGGCGGACTCGCAGCCCGAATGTGCAAGGTTAGCGCCCTATTGCTATAGTGCCCTGAAAGCAAAAACGGGTTGCGCTTGTGTTTTAATCTGTCCTCCTGAAGTTGCCCTTGTTGGTGTTGTACTCTTTCTGGGTTGCTTAGCATGGGGGCCCGCATCCCCATCCCAATCCAAAATCCGTAGTGGGCCAACTACAACAAGGAAACTATTATAATCTGGCATACGGATTGACGGTTGATTTTGTAGCAGCCTTTTTTGCCTGGTATGGGGGGGGAGGTCTAAGGGGTTCCTCAAGGCAAAACCGGCCAACGGGTCCCCATCCCCATGGCTACTGAATATCACTGCTCTCGCGTCTGCGGCTTTCCATTGGGGTCCAGCCACAAGGGGTGACTCACATTTACCAACAATTTTGGAAGTTGCATTCCCCATGAAAAGGCTACACAAGCAACTGGGAGAAGCCTCGCAAGGGTGGCAATCCGGCTTCTCAATGGACCCGATCAACTGGCTGTGTCCCCTGCGGCTTGCTGGCGTCAACTTGAACCCAAACCTTGGATCCCCCACCGGCCAACCCTGCCAACAACTCAGCCACAGGCACTGCGGCACCCGGTAGGCCAAGCAGGTGGAGTTCGCCCGCACTAATGCCCCGTTCTCTGCTAGAAGGCCTTCTGGGATGTAACTACCTGCGAGCCGTGGCGATGGTGAATTACGCGCAAGAAGCAAAGCGCGTATATATAAGACCAAATGTACATACACTTATATATATATATATATATGATATGTATGTATGTATGTGTATATGTATATGTAAATGTAAATGTACATGTATACGTATATGTATATGCATATGTAAATGTAAATGTACATGTATACGTATATGTATATGTATGTATGTATGCATGCGTGCATGGTATGTTTGCATGTATGTATGTATGCCTGCATGTATGTGTGTGTGTTTGCATGTATGTATGTATGTATGTAGGTATGTATGTATGTAGGTATGTAGGTATGTCGGTATGTGTGTATGTGTGTATGTGTGTATGTGTGCATGTATGCATGCATGCGTGTATGCACGTATGCATGCATGCAAGTATGCAAGTATGCATGCAGGCATGTCTGCTTCTATGTACGTATGCATGCATCTATCTACGTATGTATGTATTTGTTTATGTATGTGCGTGAATGTATGTATGTATGTATGTATGTATGTATGTATGTATGTATGTATGTATGTATGTATGTATGTCATGTGCGTATGTATGTGTCTGTATGTATGTGTGTGTGTGTGCATGTATGTGTGTGCTTCTGTATGTGTTTATGTATGTGTGCTATGTGTGTATGTATGTGTGCCATGTATGTATGTGTGCCATGTATGTATGTATGTATGCACGTACGTGTGCGTATGTATGTATGTGTGTGTATATGTACGCATGGATGTGTGTAGGTATGTAGGTATGTAGGTATGTGTGTATGTGTGTACGTGTGTACGTGTGTACGTGTGTATGTGTGTATGTGTGTATGTATGTATGTATGTATGTATGTATGTATGTATGTATGTATGTGCGTGTATATATGCATGTATGTATGTGTGTAGCATGTATGTAGTTACGTACGTATGTACGCATGTGCGTATGTAGGTATGCAGGTATGTAGATATGTGTCTGCTGCATGTCCTGTGCTTCGCGATTCAGCCGCTCTTTGTTTTCATGCGATCGGACCTGAAATGCTTCTGATGTTGGGGCTAGCGCCCGAAAAATGCACTGCATCATCACGGCACTGCAAAAGTGTCCACACAAGTTGCCACTGTGGGGCTCAAGCTGTGTCCAAAGTTTTCAGTGCCCTGATGCAATCCCGTGCATTGGCAAGGGACGGCTACCAGCGGCCCCTTCACGTGGAACTACAGGAATGACAGGCGTGGGCTCAGGCTCAATGAGCGCCTGATGCGCCATCCACATCTTTGCAATTTTTTGAACTTCTCGTCATCATGGTATTTCTTGGCAGCTTTTTTGAGGGCCGTCGCGTCCAAGTCTCCGTAACTCTGCCCAGCCAAAGGGCCACCAGCAATCACCTGCTTAATGAAAGGCGCAGCCCATGGCTGCATAGGATCGGCAGAAGTTCACAAAATCCACCGGCTCTTTACTCTGCAAAGGCGGCAGCTGTGAGCCACTGGTACTTGGGCATTCCAAAAACACACGACACTTGCAAGCCAGCTTTACCACCCTGGCAGTATCGTGAGCGTCCATCGTGTTTGGGAGAACCACACTTTTCTTTTCCGGCAAAAAAGCGGAGCCAAACACGTCGTAGCTACCCCCAAATTAGTTGCGTCAAGCTTGGGCTGGCCGGTCTGCGGAGCTGACAATGTGACAAGCCACCCTTGCGTACGCTGAACAGAGTTGCGGGGGGTACACACACCTGCAAGAACTGATCTGCGTTTCCAACCCTGCGCTGTTCGAACCCCGATGGCGTGCACATGGGTCGAGTGTCCCGGACACTGCTTGGCAAGGTCTTCCAAATGAGGGAGGTCCCCAACAAAAACAGTGGCTTTTCTACAAGGCAAGCAAGAACCATCAGGGCCTGGGATACGCGCATTGGTCAAGGGTTACAACTTTTGAGTTGTTCTCAATGGTCCAGAAGCTCTGGGCTTCCGACAAAATGTGGCACAACAAGACTGTCCTCCGAAGAAGCAAGTTGCCTACCCGTTCACGCTGCAAGTTCCCCGTACCCTCGGGCCGAGCACGGGTTCGGGTCCCATGGTTGCAGTTCTGCAAAAGGGAAAAGCTAGAACAAGGCAGCCCAAAATGCCACAACTGACCAGACTGCTGGGGCTTCAGCTTCAACTGAGAAAACACTCTAGGCTTCAGCAAGTCATGGGCAGGCACGTAGCAAGACTTCCCTTTGCAATCCAACGGCTCAACCATGGCAAGTGAACACGCGGCACATGGCCAAGGATAAGGGGCTTCATGAATTGGAGACCAACTCGTGGATCCAGCGCGGCGGAGAGAGGCTGCTACGGTTCCGTTAGACTTCGGACAACCGCTCTCAAAGAACAACAGCATAGCCCAAAGCTGTTGGAACCAAAGCCACGCCTCTTGGCGGCCTCGTCTCCCCTTACGCTTGGAGCGACCCACCGGACTTCCATGGCAGGATTGACGGGAACAAAGCGGAAGGTTGCCCAGCACTGGGGCCAGGCGCACTTGGCCCTGCCTTTGCAAGAAGGTTCTGCTCAGACCCAGGATGTGTCGCATGTACAACGTAACGTGGTGAAGCTGGCTCCCATCCATCGGAAGGGCCCACCCGCTCCATTCATCTTCCCGACCGAAATTCCACAGCTTTCGCAAACTGCAAACTACAAAGCAGCACAAGTGCTGACAAAGGCTCGTCGGGGACCCGGAGCTCGCGCCCTGATGCGTGGCCATGCATAGCGTATGGCTGGATCAAGATGGCCGCATAGTAGGTTCCGTCGTCGCGCTTCTGGGCATCGGTGAACTGGGAGAGCAGCTCCCGGACCAGACAGCTGAGCACCATAAACCTTTGAGGTGTCTCCGACAGATCCGGCAAAAGCTGCATCGTCTCTCTGCACTCCATGAGAAGAACCTCGTCGACGGTCGGGTGGCGACACCTCCAGTATCTACCAAAGAATTGAAAGAGAGGGCCCCTTTAACATCGCTGCTGCCAAAAGCGCCTTCCCCTGGCCCCAACAGGACACAGCATGCACGGATGTCTCGGCTCACTCCACTGGCTTGTCGCCAGCTCGGACCTGCGCGCCCTTCTGCCACTTCTTGTTCTTCGGGTTGTAGGTCTTGGGCTCGGCAGGTTCCTCGGCTTGGTCGGCTCCCGGCAGCGTGCTGTACTGCCTTGCTTTCTTCTCTAACTCCACCATGGCTTTGACATACCCGGCCACTTCCTCCAACTGCTGGTGTTCTCCTCCGAAGCGGGGCTTTCTGTAGGGGTCTGGCAGCCCGGTAAGTAACCATGCCGTTCCCCATTCGCCGTTGTCGGTGGAACACTGGCGCAGGCACCGCAAGGACAGGATCACCTGCAGCGCCGCCTCTGTGGGCTTCTCCTTCAAAAGCAAGACAAGCACCTCGGTCAACAGGTAGTGGCGGCCCCAGCTGATCCGCCTGGTGTAGTCGGCCAAGTTGTACGGGACTCCGGGGCTGACGCCCAAAAACTCTTCTGCTTCTCGGACGTACCGGCGCACATGCTTCAGAGGCCGTTGTCGCATGCGCCTGTGGCCTCTTTTGAAGGCCTGCAGCGCCCGCTCGGCCCCCTTTGGCTTGTCGCACCCCGCCTCCTCGTCGCTTGACGAAGAACCTTCCGAGGCCTCCCGCGCCACCTCGCGCCGTTGCTCCTTCTTCCCCTGAAAAAGTGAGCCTCAAGCCATGGTGCAACACATACAAAGAACGTGTAAGAACATGTAAGAACATGTAAGAACATGTAAGAACATGTGTGTGTGTGTGTGTGTGTGTGTGTGTGTGTGTGTGTGTGTGTGTGTGTGTGTGTGTGTGTGTGTGTGTGTGTGTGTGTGTGTGTGTGTGTGTGTGTGTGTGTGTGTGTGTGTGTGTGTGTGTGTGTGTGTGTGTGTGTGTGTGTGTGTGTGTGTGTGTGTGTGTGTGTGTGTGTGTGTGTGTGTGTGTGTGTGTGTGTGTGTGTGTGTGTGTGTGTGTGTGTGTGTGTGTGTGTGTGTGTGTGTGTGTGTGTGTGTGTGTGTGTGTGTGTGTGTGTGTGTGTGTGTGTGTGTGTGTGTGTGTGTGTGTGTGTGTGTGTGTGTGTGTGTGTGTGTGTGTGTGTGTGTGTGTGTGTGTATGTATGTATGTATGTATGTATGTATGTATGTATATGTATGTATGTATGTATGTATGTATGTATGTATGTATGTATGTATGTATGTATGTATGTATGTATGTATGTATGTATGTATGTATGTATGTATGTATGTATGTATGTATGTATGTATGTATGTATGTATGTATGTATGTATGTATGTATGTATGTATGTATGTATGTATGTATGTATGTATGTAAGTATGTATGTATGTATGTATGTATGTATGTATGTATGTATGTATGTATGTATGTATGTATGTACATATGTATGTATGTACGTACGTATGCACGTATGTACGTGTGTATGTATGCGTATGTGTGTGTGTTTATGTATGCGTGTGTGTGTGTGTGTATGTCTCTGTAGGTATGTATGTATGTATGTATGTAGATATGTAGGTATGTAGGTATGTATGTATGCATGCATGTATGCATGCATGTATGCATGCAGGCTTGCATACATGTACATGCCCCGACAACGTACCTGGTGTCTTCCGAGAATGCTTGGAAAGGCAACGCGGAAACACTCGAGCCTATGAAGCAAGCTCCCTGTCTGCGGGAAACGGTCAAAGCACCTTCCCTCACTCAATTCGAAGCGCCACGTTTGGAGGCCCCACAAAGCAGGCGTCGCAAGGGCGTGTTTTTCCTCCTTGGTCACACGCCTATATTCGTAGACGCAGATTTTGCATATCTTTATGTGCCTGAATTCACTTGCACGTCGAATTTCAAAAGTAGTGTAGCTGTTTATTTGAGGATTAGGGTGTGACCATGGCTTCTAGGCCTCCAAAGAGGCGGGCTCCAACAAATGAACCGGCGAGACCAGGTTGGTTGGGATTGTCTCTATAAAATAGGGGACCGCGAAAAATGGTAGCCCATGTTTGGTTTCCTTTCTCTGGGTTTCCCTTCAAAACCGCTCCGAAACGGGTACCCTCAAACCGTTCCGGGCAACTCAGAAGCACCAAGTAGCCCATTGCCTCACCACCTTCTGGAGGCCAGGGTCGGGACATTGGCTTAACAGGCTCAATCCATTGTTGACATAAGCTCCTTGCGGCCGACCTTTCACGGGCCAAGGCTTAAAAGTCGTTCGAGACCAAATCTTGCCAAACCCTGCAATGGGGCGGGTTGATGATTTTCCGGAGCACATCCACGATTGTTGGTGATGGGTCGGCCTTAAAGCGACGTCCTCGCCATGTCCCTCTAAATCATGGGAAACCACCGGGACCCACGAGTAATTTTGAGAACCCGGACCCGGTGAGGTTAAGTTGTCCCAGACCTCCAGTGGCCTTTCTTGCTCGGATTCGGCAGGAGATCAAGATGGGTTTTGGGCATGAACGGATCACCAGCGAGGGAAACGAGGATCCATAGGGGTCATTCCCTCCTTCCTGAGAGCCTCCATTTAAACAAAAAAGGAACAAAGGACATGTCTTGGAGGCAACCTCCCATCAACACTTCGCACATGATTTTGACAGGGCTCCCTTTTTTCCCTTAAGAAAAGCTCACATGTAAATGGATGCTTGAAACCACCGCGGTCCTCCTGTCTGGGACCACTCCCCAGGGCTGGCTGATGTTTGAAACCACCAAAGCAGGCGAAATGTTTGGGCATCCCTGTTTGAGATTCAAAGCAATACCATTCTTGGAAAAGGATCAGCGCGGATCACGCAAAAGGAAATGGCCAGCGGCAAGAGTTAAACGCCTGCTGCAAACAGGGGTTCCTGAAGAAAATGACAGGACCTGCAGAAAAAGTGTCTTTTTCGGGGCTTGACAAAAATTAAACAAACAATTTGAAACCAAAAGCTCAAAAGGTCGGCTTGTTGAAAGGATGCATCCGAAAACCACCTGCTTTGCAAAGCAAAGCCTCTAAATCAACTGGTATTTGGGTGATTTTCTTGCTGGCCCAAATGTATTACTTAATTGCGGTGTCTTAGGCTGGCTTCAAGGACACAAGGAAGGCCACCATGCAGCCCCCTTTTTTGACACCTACCCGCCTTGTCCCTTGTTGGGAGACTTAGTTTCGGGGTCAAGGGATCATGCGGTGTACAAATAGAATACGCGATCATGAATGGACAACCTGAACTAAGGAGTCAGGGACATGGGTCAGCTAAAAGGTGGGCATGTGTCACATAGGGGGACCCAAAACATGAGCAGAATTTCCTCGTTCCTTTACAAGCCCATTAGAGGGCACCCTCACAAAACGTCGCACTCAAAGGACCATTCTCTTTGCTACAATACGGAAACATATATGGACTAAAGGCCGAGGTTAGCTTAAAAAGGAATCCCTAAGGGACACCTGCACCATGGGTAAAACAACCAAAAAAGGCCGGCTTGTGGAAAGCAACACTTCTGCGATACCAAGTGGCTGGCTCCCATGTCTAGTTCGTCACTGAAAACGGGATGTCCTTGCGATCACAAGTGACAACCCTAAAATCCATGTGTCCACCCCCCCCAAAAGGGACCAAGGGGGCTCTTGATCAACTTGGAGGCGCTTCTCCCCTCTCGCTTTTCCTGCAGCCCGGCCAAAAAGGGGCCCCCGGAAGGCTCGGACCCTTCGCCCCTCCGCCGCTGCGCCTGCCCTGAGCCGCGTGATGGGCTTGCCGCTGGCCATCTCCAAGTCCGCAGTGCCGGAGACCAAGACGCTGAAGTGGGGGCCCGAGGGGTGGCTGTCCTTAGCGCAAAGCGCGCCCGGAACCAAAAACTTCCGCATGGGGAAAACGGCTACCTTGAATGGACCCTGTTTCCAAGACCTCCGCTAGAATTCGCGGGACACCCTCTTTTGGCGGGAAATTGATGTCAAACGATGGCAGACTGGTCACTTAGGGATCGCTCACTTAGGGATCACGGTCACTTAGGGATACACGGTCACTCAGGGATCACATTCACGGATCACTTAGGGATCACTTAGGGATCACATTCACGGATCACATTCACGGATCACTGGTGGGTGGGTGGGTGGGGGGGATGATAAGCACACCCGCCCAACTCCTGCAGACCAGCCAGCTCTTTTACCGGATTACAAAATAACAAGCGCATACAAACATACATCGGGAGGCATACATGTCAACACGCATGCATGCACGACAAGCCTTCTTCAAAACGCGATCCCGAGGCGACCCAAATCCGCGATCCCTAAGCGAACCAATTCCGCGATCCCTAAGCGACCCACGGCCCTCAAAGGATTCCCCCTACATGTGCTTTGTAAAGAACACATAGGGAACCACCGGTGCTAGGAAGCAGGAGTTTAGCTAACTACCTGTAGCACTTCCTGAGGTCCTGGAGCTGGTTTCTTAGACAGGGCTTCCTTGTTCCAAGGCGACATGTATTCTATTCTGATTCTGTAGGTGGATGCTTGGTTGTTGGGGGTTGCAGGTTGCCACCTGTTCAAAGACCCGCAGAGCACACCATTCCGTAGAAGGATGGCTGGTTGCCTTTTTTGCCCCGCTTTCGCCCGCATCATGTTCCTTTGTGCAAGAACATGAATTAAGGGATCCAAAGCAACAGACCTAACCTACACCAAATCCCAATCAATCTCCAGGAGCCCTCTTCAACCGGCCCAAAGACCAGATTCAAGCGATGTAGCCTTCCAATCTGCCTGCCCAGGCTTAACCCCATCCAACTTGCCTGTCTTCCTGAAGCTCCTCCAAATTCCCAAAAGTTCCTGGGAGCTCCCAAATTTGTCTTTCCCCTAAACCCTCCGGCGGCGGAAACTCACCTCCAACGGCCGGACCTCATCCGAGGGGCCGGGAAGGGCCACAGCACGTCGCCTGCGGCGAAAAACCGCCGGAGGATCAAACGGTTGACACGGATCGGCGCATAAGACGCCCGCCTGAAAAATGGGAGTGGGAAGGTTGAAAAAGGCCCAAGAGGAGCACATAATTTTACTGTGGTTGGTTGCGAAATCCTGCACTTTGACAACATGGGAAACCATGGCAGGTTCGTAACAGGCTCATCCTTCCAGGGGTTCTTAGGTGGTGCAGGATTTTGTCATCCACAGTAGCGGCCGTGTTGAAAAGGGACTAGAAAGTTGGGGGTTCTAAAACATGATGCCAGTCGAGATCAGTCGGCGACCCCGAAACGGCTTCTGCATGGATGAACGGTGGGACTTCTAAATTGAGGTCTTCTGGTCATTGTGTTAAACAAAGCCAACAACAAAAGCCATAGCTCCGAACAAGGACGGTTTCTAATATACACCTCAATTGTCAAATGGAAAGCAAGGGCCCAGTTTTTACGGAATGCGGAGAAGAAAAAAAGGAAGCCCGACGCCGGGCCGATGAAGCATGAAATCTCTCTCGTGCCATCGAACTCTGCCCCACTGGCGCCCACTGGGGGGGGGGCAAGAGGGGGGCTCACGGAACCTGCATTCCCAGCACTCACCGCCCAGCACTCTCTCAGCCGCAAACTGCCAGCCACTCCGCACCGCTCCTGTAAGTGGCCCTTGTGGGCTCGGCCGCCCCATTGGCAAATGACGGCAAGGGCTCCAATTCCAAGAGGCGGGCGTTGGAAGAGGCGTGCGTCGATTTGCGGCCCCTCAAACCGGGGTCATGACTCTGAGGGTGTCTGAGGTTATCCAAGGCAGACACTGGAATTGTGCCCCTGTCATGCACCATTTAATTACTGGGCCAGTTAAGGGTACATCCCAAAACCGCCTAATGTAAAAGGAGATCCTCCAATTCAGCCGGCATAGCTGACTTGTTCACTGGCCCTTGCGATCTTTTCCCCAGGCGAATTGCCGCCCACAAGCGGCCTTTGGGAGGAAAGCAGGCTTCCAAAATCTGGTCCACTTCCTCTGGGAGGGTCTTAGCGGCCTTTTCGAAGGAAACCGCCCGTTTTGGGGTCCAACCCCGCCCCTCCCCCCACCCCTTCCCCCGCCTGGGGCCAGGTCCACCCGCTCCGCGTGCAGGCCCAGGAGTGCGCCGCAGGCGTCGCCCGCCGGGATGCCTGGGCAGCCCTCAAAATCAGCCAAAGGTTGGTAGCGTTTCGGCTGCTTCCCATGATTTGGATTGTTTTCTCGGAGGACATGTCGTTCAGCATGGATAGAGACATAGAATTGAACTAGTTGGAAAAGCACTGATTTACACAATCAGGGCTCCCGGCTCTGGCTTCATTTTGCAAAGACCCCAGCCCCCAAACGAACACATTTTTCTTTACCCGTTTAGTTTCTAGATCATGAGGCCATACAGCGCTTCCTTCTTGGAGCCCCCCTACCTTACTAAAGCCATATCTTTGGTGTTTCAAGGGAGGCCCCTGCATCTCACCAAGGACCTGAAAATAGGTGTTCACGTTCTGAGGCTTGACAACAAACAGGCCAACGAAACCTGAAGGTTCGGAGTCATCGACCTCCAAGCGGGCCATATTAAGGCCTTCTGTCGGGCTCCTTGGCTCCTGAACTTTTCCAGAGGTAGCCCTCCCCTGTTTCGCCCCCTTCCATGGAGTTAATATGACTTGGTTCACATGCGAGGTGCCCAGAAAATAATATGTTCAGATTCTGTTTCATGCTTCGTCCGCCCTGAAACTGGGGTCATTAGTTTGACTGTTTCTGGGGTTGTCAAAGTGCCTCCATTTGCTGAAGTCCCCTGGACCAAAAACACATATTTCCAGTAGTGATAGATTCCCTTTAACCAGGGGAAAAGTATAAAATAGCCTTCAGCAAATGGAAGGTTTTGGATGCCCCAAAGAGTTTCAGGCCGCGGGGCCCAAGGGCAAGGCCGCCATCGGCATGAGCTGCTGGCTCTGCTGGCACCGCTCGTAGGCCAGCAGCAGAAGACTCTCCTCGCTGCGGTACAGGCGAATGTGGCTGGGACTGGGCATGGCAACATGTTCATCGCCCTTGGTGGCGGGTGATGTGCATTTATTATTACTGCACCATTATTATCATTATTATTACTATCAGTACTATCATTATTATTATCATTATTAATATGACTAATAGCGTTATTGTGTTTTGTTAATTGTTGTTATTATTGTGATTCCTCCAGTTGTTCTTGAAACCAAGTGGAAAGATACCCTCCAACCTCCAAACCGACACCCCCAGCCAGCAAAGAAAGGGAAAGCTGGAACATGGTTCCGAGAAAGCACATGTCCGCCCTTGGTTCCGAGAAAGCTAAATGAATCGATTCTTCCACAACCGTGTCAAACAGGGAGGGGTGTTCAGGGCCTCATCTAGAAACGCTCTGGAAACCTACTCTACGAGCCTATTCAGAAAAGCCAGCGGGGGGTCAGGGCAGGTCTGAACCCATCAGCAAGAGCAAGGGCTTACCCTAAGCTTCTACCCAGGAACATCTGGAAGCAGGCCACCCTTGCTGCTCGCGTCTTCCCATGCCAGTTGGGAAACGAGTGCGCTTGTGGTAGCTGACTCGGGGTTTCCCCCAAAAGGAACAAAGGACAACTGGAAGTCCGGGGCTTAAATCCGAAAGCGAGACGGCGAGTCCTTGATGCGCCGGAACTTGGTGCGTTCGAGGATGTCCTGTCCTCGGTTCATGCTTCTCAACTTGCTACCCAGGCGTCATGAACTTTCCCAGGCTTGGAGCAGCCCTAAAGATCGATCGTTGACTTCCTCTGGGGCTCGTAAAACTAAAGTTTTCGTTAGAATTTAGAATTGACAAGGCCCAGTGTCAAAGAGCCCAGCCACGTTCCCCTGACATCCTTGGTAAATAATACATCATAGAGAATGTGTAAACCCCCCTTTCGCTTTGGAGCTTTTGCGGGGCTTTCATCCAGACTGAACTCACCAGGTGGGTGTGCAACTCATTTGGCCCTCGGTCCAAAAGCCCGTACCCCAGTGAACATCCCAATCCCCACTAAAATAGACTAAAATGGGTGGTGCACCTACCCTGAAATGGTACCATTGGTGTTGACCCACAGCCATTTGATTCTAAGGCAGCCTTCCAACACACAGGCGTTCGCTCGCCTTCTGAGGGCTACGTCCAGCACACGCACCGAACATCCCAAAAGGAAATCCGATCGTTCTTTCCCGGTGGAGAAAAAGTGGTGGGGGATTCGATTTCCGTGCGAATCGAATGCAGCCAAAAGCTCGGACCTCTATGACCGCGCACTCCTGCAATCGTTGCTTGCTCGGTCAACCCGTTGGTCCCGAAATGTGGAATTGAAATCCGTGACGGTCTTTTCTTGTTCTGTTTCGGTGTTTGCTCAATTTATCGGCATGTGTGTTTGCTTCTCGCTCCAGATTCCTTCTGAAGGGGTTGCCCCCCGATCAAAATCAAGCAGAAGCTCTGATTAAGCCTAATCATTAAGCAACCAAGATTCCATTGTGGTCTAGACACCCTCCCAAAAGAAAAGGAAAAAGAGCACCACTGGCTGTCCGGGTCTGTGGGGAAACTTCCACGTTCCCTATGACAGTTCACATCATGGCTTAAGGTGACCTGGTGACCACCACAAAACCAAAGAAACTGGGGGGACCCCCTTGCAAAGGCCCAAAATGGAAGCAACAAACACCACCGCAAAGAGAATATTGGACCACCACCGGAAGGTTCCCTCCAACCCCCCCTCCCCCCGTTGCCCCGCCCCTTTTTACCGCCCAATTTAAGCGCATGGGATGGCCTGGAGCGCCAGCACGGTGCAGGTGCGCACGTGCAGCAGCCCCAGCAGCGCCGTGGTGCCCACCATGGCGCCCGGGCCCAGCACCCCCACCGGGCCGATCTCCTACGCGAAGACCGCGCGGTCGGGAGTCGGGTCCGGCTGGCGCCATGGACGGCTTGGGTGGGGCGTGGAGTACCATACCTCTACAAGGAAAACCGGAAAAACGCCTGGAAACAACGTGACACATCCCTCCTTTCTCTGACGACCAAGTGACTAGCTTTCCTACCAAAAAGTAAACCATGTTTTCTGGGCAAGAAGATCCAACCCTGCTGAAAACCCAGCCGTTCGTGTGCGTGTGAGGAAACCAGAGGTTCGCTGGGAACAACGACCCGTGCCCTTGGGATGGAAAGGCCTGGCGCCATTCCAACGCCCCCTGCGCATGAAAGGAAGGATATGGTGACTGGAATGGATGACCTAAAGCCTGGCCTGAAAAAAGGTTGCAAAGATGTTAATTGTGATTTACTAAGACTGCCCCACGATCTTGCCTCAGGGCCGGAACCGAGAAATCAAGGAAAGGTCTGGTTGTCAGTCCCGGTCAGGTCTGGGAACTGTGGGAGGCTTGCTGTTCTGAGAGCGCAGAAAGAAGCTGATTGACAACCCGGGATTCAAACCAACAGGTTGAAGACACGCAAAGACAAGAAATCACACTTCGAAAGTTGAAGTGCCCAGTGCAAGTCAGAATTAATTCAAAACTGAAAGGAAGGGGCAAAGAAGGGGGACAATGTGTGATGGGGTAACCTTAAGCTGTGCCGAGCATGGGTTGTGAGCCCTGGCAGGCCAGTTCTTGTGTGGCATCGTGCGGTGGGAGGGGCAGGGGATGCTGAGGAAAGCCGGGGCAGAGAAGGCCCACAACGCAGGCGGTGCTCGGCACAGCTTGCACACCCAACAATCACAAAATGGTGGGCGCAAACACCGAACCCCCGGCACACGCCCGAGACATGTCATCCAGCTTGGCCTACCAGCCTCCAGCCTTCAACCCTACACCATCAACGCATAAAAAGCCCTGCGCCAATACTTTCCAGCATATCCACAATTTGGTTGCTCTTTGTTGGCTTCGGTTTAATTATTGCTTGTTAGGTTGTTTATATTGACAACATATGTTGAGCCCTTTGATGCCTGGCTGACGTGTTCTACGTAAGGGCAGGAAGGGGACCCAAGACTCTACAGGTTGCGGGGAGGATGGAAGAGGGGACGTGGATCCAAGGCGATGCTGCAGAACCAAGCGCAAAGAAACACGGTGACTCCGTGAAAAACATGTGGTTGCACAAAGGCAGCCAGTGGTCAACCACAACATGAAACCCTGAATCGGGCGAAGGTTCACCCACACGCCAGCCCATCCCAACCCCATCCCACCGCTCACTTCAACGGACTTCTAATATTATCTCCCCACCCCGAGACTATATAAACCGGCCGAACGGACCGAAGGACAGGCTCTCTCTCGTGTCTCCCCACTCCTTGGAGTACACGCGCGCATAGCCATCCACTAGGATGAACCTTGGCAAATCAGCCTAGTGGGTTCCCTCCCCCTTGGCTACACGTTTGGGGAAAAAAAAGTGAAGGTCTTTCAAAGGCCTTCCACAGGGCTCAAGGGAGTCAACTCAATTGTCAATTTGGGGGGCCTTGGGCCTAGGAGCCCCACATTGAATTCCGGCACTTTGAACTAACACTGCATGAAGCATTGGACCCCTTTTAGGGGTTGATTCCATCTTGGCTGGGCCCACCAAACAACACCGGATTGTAAGGGAATCCCCGGAACTGGGGACTTTGTGTGTGGGTCCAGCCAAGAAACTCACCCAACACACAGGGCGTTTTTTCTGCGCGGCCCGGCGTCCGGCGTCACCGCTCGCATCCCGTCGCATCCGAGGCACAGGGAGTCGGCCGGCTCGCCCAGGACGCACAAGGCGCTCTTGGCACGGAGCTTGGTCACGTGCAGCTCGGTGGCCAAGAAGGTGGCCAGCTCGCCTCCCGATCGGAGCTCGGATCTGAGCGAGGGGTCCTTTCTGGGCAACCTACCGAATCCCCCCCCCCCCCCGAGCTTTGAAAGGTTGGATTTGTAGTAGCACTGTTCTTAAAGCAAATTTCGAGAAACACATGGGGTTGATCCCGTCGCTTTTGGATCCACTTCAAGTAGACCAAGGGAAAACTCCAGATCCATATGTGGCGATTCGCCATCCTTAGGCCCCGGTTTCCTCCGCACACTTTCTGGACATGTGAACAAATGAATCTTAACAGGGAACACCTCCCCAGAATGGCTGGTGGACGTAAATTCCAACTTCAAACATGTCCGCCAATGGCGGCCCAATTCAGACATATATAGGTAGCTGACAACCTCACGCCATAAGCAATAAACCGACAGGGCCTAGGGGACCACAAACAACCAACGCCCACCAACCTTCAAAACCAGCAGGAACTGGGCTCCGTTGATCACATGAAGCTTCTGGAAGCTTCCGTCAGGTTCCAGCATGCGACGAGACCAATGAAAATGGCGCCGAGGGCCCCTCCTTCACCCTAAAAAATGGGTGTCAAGCAGCGCACCCTGGCTGGATAATGGAGATGCTCACCCCTCAATGAAATTAGGGGGGTCGATCTCTTTTTCAAGTGTCATTTCCCTTTGTGGGGTAAACCAGAGAAACGGAATTGGGGGCATACCAGGAAAATGGAATTGGGACCCTCCCCCTTGGAGTTCCAAGAGAGTGCCTTTGGAGAATTTGGGAAAGTGGCTTGATCGTTTGTCCCTAGGCGAATCCAGCCACTTACTTTTTTGTCGAACACACACAAGTCGAGGTCTCACAAAGGGTGATGAACCTTTGATCTGCACTTACAATAACTCACCACCAGATTTTTGGAATCCCAAAGGAACATTCATTGGTGGGCCGGAATCGATTATTTCACCCTCGGCCAGTAGAACCATAAACATCAAGTCTTCCCCCCCACCACCACCCGCCCCCCAATGCCCTGTTTAAACATGTTTAAGCCGCCTGTGTTTAACCAACAGGTCTTCCCCGGTATTTTTGTCACCCAAAAGTCTGGGCAGCGCCTGCCTTGCACTTTAAATCGTCCCGTGACCAGCCAAGGGCATGAGAACCCCACCCCAGCCCCCCGCACCCCCAACCCAGCTGCCTGGTGCCCGCGCATAGGCCAGCAGCCGCGTCAGCGCCGCCTCCGCGAGGCGTTGCGCCGGCAGGTCCACAGGCGGCGGAGGGTCCAGGCCTTGGGGTGAAAATGAAGACGGCCACGCGGGAACGTCGCGCCGGCGAGGCTGACGCTCGCGAGGGCAATTGGTCAGGCCGAACCCCCCCCCAAAAAAAAAAAGAATACAGACAGTACCACTGGGCTTAACACCCCACTGTGGTTTGGGTCCAGGGTTCGGACTTTTGAGACCCAGGCGAAAGACATGACAGGATCAAGCCAGACAACTGGTTTTGGTATATCTCCCTCAAATGGGGCCGTGAGGTGCTGCGTAAGTCTGTGTCAGTCAGTGCTTTTTGAGGGCACCCTGGTGGGTTCCCAGTTGTGAAACAACCCTTGGCGATGGAACAACCGAACAACCTGCCCCTGCCTCCCTCAAAAAAAACTCCAACAAAACAAACTAATTTCGAGAAAGAAAAAACAACTCAATCTGGAAAACTCCCAACCTCGGCAGACTCAGGAAAAACTCAGAAAAAAACTGAAAAACAAACTCAGCTCCCGACTCAGCCTCAAACTCAAGTGGGGGGATCCGAGTTCAAGGCTGTTGTTTTTTTTCTTTTTTCTGTATTTGTTTTTCCTGAGTTGAAGGCTGAGTTTGTGGGGGTGTTTTTTGAGTAGATCCCTCGTGATTTGTTCTGTGTTTTCTTTGTGGTGTTTTTCTAGTCTGTGTTTTCAGTTGAGTTGTTTGGCTGAGTTGTGTTGAGTTGTTTTTGTTCGTTTGGTCTTAAGCTTAAACATGTTAAAGTCTAATCCTAGACATCAGAAAACCCTGCCCAAAAGGGCGGGATGAAAGAGCTGGCTGTATAGGTCCATGCCATTTTGGGCCGGTTCCTATAGTGGTCTTCGGCTTCCACACGCACACGGAGATTGGGGTGCAAACGGGACTAGCGGATGATCAGGAGACCCCGTTTGTTCAAAAAGGCAAACCCCAAAAGCGTAGTGCTCCCTCCAAAGGTGCCCGCAAATTACAAGGTCCTGCCCAAAAAAAAACACACCAACTGTGAAGAGTCTTCCCCCGACGTGTCTCACAAGATGGACTCCCAAAGGAATCACTGGTCTATGCTTAGTGTCTTCAGAGGTTTGTCACCAACAAATTCCACGAGACCTCTCCATGTGTTCCCTCGAAACCTCGAAACAATAGAATACAACAACTGGTCATGTTCGAATCACCCCCCCCCCCCCAAAAAAAAGAAAGAAAGAAGAAAACAAGTGGAAGGCCAAAGACCTCTCCAATTGACCCCGGCGTAGAGGCCTTCGGGTCTTAAGCCTCATCAAGCCCCCTTTTGGCAAAGAGTCTTCTGAGGGGTGGGAGTCTCCAGCGCGGACCCCTGTCGGATGGTGCCCGGAGGAAACGAAAAGAACACCTACCAGTTATTTTCAGGAGTTTAAATCATACTAGTAGCTTGCACGTACATCATATGACTACCTCCTCCCTCCAACTAACATGGCACCTGTGGGAGGGTGCCTGGAAGATCAAACTCCTCAAGGGACCTTTTTCAGGTGCCATGTTAGTGGGAGGGAGGGTAGATCTGGCTTTGAAATGCCCCCCCCACAACCCACAACCCACAACCCCCAAAGCGTGCCGCGGCGTGCCGCGGCGCTGAGACCGCGGAAGCTCTCCACCTCCCCGAGGCGCTCCAGCTTCACCTTCACCTGAGCGTTGGCTTTTATTCCCTACAAACTTGCTTGGACTTCCGCGGGCTCCGCATTGCCGCGGGCCAAGAGGATCCAAGAGGTCCCTTCCGCGAACTTCCGCGGCACATGTGTTTCATTGTTTGCTTCCGCAAACATCCGCGGGGCATGGTTTACAAGATTTGCTTCCGCGATTATTGGCGCAGAAAGGAAAGGCATTTTAAGTGAGGTAGTGTTTCGCCGCAGCTTGTGTAGGCTTGGCCTCCATTGGGCTACCCAGGCTACGTGGCCACTTGCCTGCAAACACGGGGCCACCCTTCCGCGAAGCTTCCGCGAAATACGCCGGCTCGTCACCGCCAAGGAACCACCCCACATTGATCAACCAGTTTATTCATAGGGGGTTTCTGGGTGTAGTAGTCACTTTAGTCACGTCCAATGTTGACCCCGCATTGATCAACCAACTCCAGTTTATTCATAGGGGGTCCCTCAGTGTAGTGGGGAATCAAAGAAGAACACCCCCTGATAAACTGGGGTTGATAATTATGGGGTGGTTCCTTGTCAGTGGCCAGGAAACCAACATGGGTGGCTTCACTTCCTCTGGTAAAAAAGAAAGAAAGAAAGAGCAGGATTTGCAACACAACTTGATCACCCCGTCATTCTGAAACCTATTAGGTTAATCATCGGCATGAGCTTCACCTTCGACATTTTGCCATTGGCCCGAACCTCCTGTACATTTTCTGGCATCGCAGAGCCTGCCTGGCACAATGAGCTCCTTTTGATTTATGTAAGTAAAATTCTGGAAGAAAGACATGCATATCGGGAGAAAGAGCACACAGTGTTCTGCATGTGCATGTAGCTCACATCGTGCTATGCATGTGTGAATGGCAATTTATACTATGTACGTATATGTATATGTACAAATAAACATCTGCATATGCGTGTGGAATATGTCATGGGCAGATGTGCTTGGTCAACACCATGTGCAAGGACAAATGTATACATCCACGTACACTGTATACATACAGTGTATGCAAATATATACATATATATATATGTGTATATATATATATGTAGATCACTTATTCTGTGTGCGTGCACGCGCATATTTAGTCCTATGTTGCAAATGTCCGTGCCAGGCCCTCACCTGCCCGGCCACTAACAGAAAGCGACGCTTCTTGGACCGGGTGACTGTTATTTAGCCGTGGCTAGACCCCCTGCTAAGTGACAAGCCCAAGCGAACCAAAGTAAGCTAAGTCTGGCAATGCTTAGTGTCGGTGGCCAGGAGTACAACACCAAATATGTATACAGGCGTGTTGCGAACATAAGACCAACGAAAAACAACACACACACACACACACACCTCTTTGTACATAAACGTAAATCGACCTAGAGGTCCCCAGTTTTACCCCCTACTCACCCTACTCCAACCTCTCCAACTACATAGCTGTAATCCGCTTAAACCGGCGGAGATCCTTTCTTCAGCATGTGTTTGTTCGCAGCGAGCCTCCAACCAAAACAAAAAATACCAAACATGCGCATGGCAAGTCACCCGAAGCCAATGGCAGCATGGCTCAAATGGCTCAGTTGGTTTGCTTAAGCATCTCAAATTCCTAAATATCGGCAAAAAAGAAGAATGGGGCCAAAAACGAGCGGGGTATACTGAGTGGGAGAGGCAGCCGGCACTTTGTGGTTTTGCGGTTGCTTCTACTCACTTCTGTGAACTGGAGGGGGAAAGAAGTCCAAATCCCAATAGGGGCTTTTAGCGACTAATCATGCCTAAAGGGGCTGACAGGAATGCATCCCACCAATCGTAATGGGGGGTTTTGGCGACTCACAAGGCCATAAAGGGCCCGATCGGAATGCTCGGCCAAGTGGCGTAGTTGGCGGCGGAGGGGCTCAGGAGCTGCACGTCCTCGAGTCGGGAGGATCTTCCCGTTGGATCTTTGGCAAAATTGGCCAAAGTGCCATGGCCGGAAAGGGCTTGGGATCACTTCGCAACTCATTTTCTTTAGCCGGAGGGTTCATATTGATCCATTGCTATCATGTTTCTGTGCTTATTCATGTTGGCGTTTGAGGTCTTTTTTGGGGGGGGAATCCTTTTTGGATGGACAGCTGCACCAAAAAAGAGGCTGGAAAGGAAGCCTGCAACATTCGCAGCGTCCCGCAGCGCCTAAAAAAAAAAACAAGGCCTCGTCTCAAACAGGGGGGGCCAAATAGGCATTCTCAATGAGACCCCAAAAAATAGGCGCACGGTGCCCTGAAACTGGCGGCCCTGCTACTGTTTGAAAGAAAATGAATTGACATAAATCAACCGCTCAAAGTGGACACACTGTAAACTTGAAACCCTACTTACTTAACTGGCTGGTGCTGGAAAAACTATCAGTTGCTTGTTTCCTCAGGAACCCACCGAAAGGTTGATGCGGTTTGGAGGGTAAGGACCCCCGATATTCCGAGTAAGTTGTTCAGTTGACATACCCCCGCTGGGCCCTGTGGTGCAGCAAGATGGCACCCCAAAATTTGGCTCTGAGGTTTTGCTGGAGAGCTCCGATTCACACGGTAGCAGGAGTGTCGTCATAGGTGCACGCTTGGCAGAATTGCCATCCATCTACTCACATCATCCTCAAGCCAGTTCTGACTTAGACACGTCACAGCAAGCCACATGGATTTGAGGGTAAGACTAGCTTAGCCATGAAAAAGGCCCAGGAACAAATCGTGGCTTCCCGTCCAATCGATCCGGTCCCAACATCCCACGCTAGGCCTGCTCTGCCGGCGAGCCCGGGCTAAGGGGACTATCCTCACCCATGTCCGAGCTGTCATCCCCGCCCATGTTGGGCGCTTTCCACAGGTGCGAAGGCCTGTTAAGAACGCGTTCGTTTGGACTGCCTGGCTTCATGCTGGACCTGGGCGCTTGTTTGATCTCTTGCTTGGTTGGTTGGCTGGATGGCTAGTTGGCTCGCTGGTTGGTTGGATGGTTGGGTTGGGTTGGGTTGGGTTGGGCTGGGCTGGGCTGGGCTGGGCTGGGTTGGGCTGGGCTGACTGGCTGGCTGGCTGCTTGGTTGGCTCTTTGCCGCCGGGTTCCGTGAAACTGCAGTTGGAGGTTCCCAACAAGTTTGTGGGTCTGGAAAAAAGAGGCAAATGAGGGACCCTCAGTCCAGGCGCTGCAAAGTGAAACAGCTGCGCGGGCAAAGCAGCAACGTGACGGCGTGGCAAAGCCTTCAGACGGGTAGCGTTGATCAAACATGGGATCGATTGTCTTGTTCTGTTGAGAGAATTTGTGTGTGTGTGTGTGTGGTTGCGTTTGTTAGTAGGTGGAATTGTGGTTTTGTTTGATGTGTGTGTGTGTGTGTGCGTGTGCTTTCTGCTTGAGAACACGTGCGTGATTCTGGCCCTGGCTCCTCCCCACCGACTAGCATACTATACACCGTTGTCATTTTCCCCAAGGAACAGCTCAGTCGACCTGGCTCCCAAATCCCAACTCAAAGCTTGGTCCTTTTGAGCAAGAAAGCTTGTTGAGGGGCATATGCTCAGGAAAAGCAAGCAAGTCCCAAAAGATACTGCCCACTGATATCTAGGCGCGTTAAAGAGGCAGGCTGACTGGTGCATGGGTGGGTGGGTGCTGTTGGGGTGCTGGGGTGTTGGGGTGCTGGGGTGTTGGGGTGTTGGGGTGTTTCTGTGTTGCAGCGTTGCCATGTTGCCGCGTCGCTGTATTGATGTGTTGCTGTGTTGCTGCGTTGCCGTGCCGTGTTGCTGTGCTGCTGTACTGCTTTGTTGCTGTGTTGGTCTGTGTGTGTGTGTGTTGGTGAGTGTGTGTGTGTGTGTGTGTGGCTGTGTGTGGGTGGGTGTGGGTGTGTATGTGGCTGTGTGTGGGTGGGTGTGGGTGTGTATGTGAGTGTCGTGTGTTGGTGTGGTGGTGGTGTTTCTTGTTGTTTGTGCTGGTGTTTGTGTGTGTGTGTGTGTTGGAGTGTGTTGGAGTGTGTTGGAGTGTGTTGGAGTGTGTTGGAGTGTGTTGGTGTGTGTTGGTCCCAAAAGCGGGAGTCCTCATCTGATTTCGGTACAATTCATGGTTTCAATTTTCAATGAGTTGTCGTCGGTCCAAGCCACAATTACCCCCCTTCAGGCACGCCCCCCCTAGACACCCTTCCCATACAAAAGGCCAGGCAAGGCAGGGCTGGGAAGCCTAGATTTTGCTTCTATGATGGCTGAACCTGCGCCAAGCCCGGCAACACAGCCACGCTGGGGTGGAAGGTTCATGTCACTTGCCCAAAGAATCAAGTGGCCGACTTTCAGCAAAGGTTGCAACCTCTCTGTTGCTTTGTTCTGCTGGTTCTGTTGAGGCACCTTTGGGCAGACTCTTTGTGCCACATTCAAACTGAACCTCACCCAGAATTCCCAAAGTCCTGAGTTGGCAGTTGTCCCACTGGTGAATGTAGACGGTCTTGCGGCCCTCCGTCAGCAAAACCCCTTCCTGTGGTTGCTTCCAAAAATGCTGAGGTCCTTGACCAGTCTCACCGGACGCGGACTCACATGGCCGGGGGGCTCTTGCGGGGGCTTGGAGTTTCATGGGAAAGGTGGCCAATTCGAGCGACAGGAGGGTCAGGGAAACACGGGCGTGATCTTTTTGTGGAGAGTGCCCTCTTTGTTGGCAGGTTTGCAAAACGGAAGCCACGCAGCTTGTATATGCAACACTTGGCCAATGTTCGGAAACACTCTGATTGTTTGCCCCACCCTACGAGAAGAAGCAGCCTTCGAGGTCCGTGACCCCGAAATGCTTCGAGTGTCTTTGGCTGAGCCTTTCCATCTAGGCCCTGAAAATGGGACAGTCATGGACCCTTTCCGTTTTGAAGGGGGCCCCAGCCCCATATCGATTTGAGGAAACGCCAGTGTTCCTAGGTGTCCATTCAAGGAAAGATAGATGGCACCGGTTGGAGATTAGAATCAAAGTGGAACTGGCGCCAACCATGTTCAGCCACACTTCATGTCAAAGGACCCGGAAATAAAAGGCGGATCTTTTTGGAACCTTCAGTGAACATGACCCCCCAAACGAAACCCGACGCGTTTTGAAGGGTCGACTTCGGGCGAAGCTCACCCCTCACGGACTCCAAGAAGAAGCTGGAGATCGACGTTCCGACCGGGGCCGCCACAGCGATGTCATGGGCTGACGGGAAGACCTGGCCACGGCAAGGACTTGATCAAGCGTCCCCAAAAAACAGCGGTCATGCATGGGTTACCCTGGAGACGTCCAGGGTACATACCCCAAAAGTCATGCATTTATATACGTCTTCTAGGTAAAAAAGGGTATGTCCAGTTGGGGTAGGATACAATCCCTAAAGGATGGGAAAGCCGCCGGTGGATAAATCGGTTGCGCTTTGGCTTGAGCTCCCGGGTTGCATCTGGAAGCGGCATGGAAACGAAAGAATCAAAGTGGAACCCCTCCGCTGTGGCCTCCCAAACCACAAGTCAGGGGGTTCCATCAAGCACGCTTTGGGGCACCTGCCCCATCGCACGGGGCACCCCTTCCAAACGAGGAGTGGTCTTCCAAGACGACCTGAGGCAAACTGTTGCCAGATTTCTAAGGCCACGAATGGGCAGTGGGGCCCCAAACCCGGCCGTCTTTGGAAGGGTCCCTTTGGGACCCTTCGTGGACACGCTGTGTGGCCGCCTTGAAGAATAAAAGGGCACTTTCATCGACCAAAGGGGCGTCGTCCTTCAAGCGTTGTTCAGAATGGGTCAGCCGATCCAACTTTCAAGTCGCAACATACCTCAGCCGAGTTGTCGTTTGCATCCACAACCACACCGCGCCAGCTGGTGTCAGAAAAAGATTCATGCAACCCCCTGAAACAGTTTGGTTTCAAGACCTGCTGTTTCAGCAACCTGCCCTTGGTCTCCCGTGCGTTTTCTTCTTCTTTTTCACAGGGGCGAAAGTTCGGGTCTGGCTGATTGACCAAATTCTTACCCAAGCCTTTTTTTGGTTGCTGCTGATCCCTCTGCAAAAAGTGAACAACTTTTTTGGGGTTTAGTGGAAACCCTTGATTTCAACCAAAAAGTTAAAGTCTAAAGATCCAACCCAGTCAAGTTTTGTCCCTTTGTGCAGAGCCAAACCCCGGACTGAGCCACTCCCAAAGCGCGCGGGGCCCCAAAACGCGGCACGGGCCACCAGCTGCGCGGCCCCATCTGGCAAGCGATGCGCAGATGCCACTAATGGGGGGGGGGGGAGGCGGTAATTCACCAAAGGATCCCTGCAATCTTCATGGCGCAATTTCGCAAAGCCTCAGAAGCTGCAAGTTGCTGGTGAGGTCTGAGACAGTGAAACTGCCCCTTGTCAAAGGTCCAACAAGGGAACTTGAGGGACCCTTTTTATAGGAACATCAAATGGAATGGACGCCATCCTGTTGTTTTGTGTTCTTTTGTTTTGCTCTTGCTTGTTTTTGTGGGGGGGGGCTGGGCTTTCTGGGGGGGGGGGGGGGGCTGGGCTTTCTGTCGGCTTCCGGCTCGAAACCGAGAGGGGGTCCCTATTTGACACATCTCTCAATGGAATGCACACCATCCCTGGCCCAGGGTTAATGGTGTATATACTACTTGCTAAATGCTTGTGTACCTCTATTCCGCCTGGTTGGGGGTAGTGGGACAACCTTAGAATCGGCAAATCCATTTACATCTACATGTTTTTCATGTGTGCAGGGTTCCACTTGAGCGCCGCATGGGCATTGCCGTACTCTGCAAGAATAACAAGCGTCTCCGCCGTCGCTTCTTCCTCCTGTTTCTTCCAAGCCCACCCGAATCCTAACCTTAGTCGTGTTTGACCTGCTTCGAAGTTGTCTTCCTTGAAAGGGGGGGCCCGCGAGTTGGAAAACGGGACGAGCAGTTGAGAACTCTCCCAGGGTTCCGTCATGGGCTATGGAAACACCGCGATGCCAGAGAATTGTCGTTCTCTGTGATCTTTGGCACCCTTTTCTCAACCTCCCAAAGGGTTTCGCTCGTGGCTCTTTCCGCGATTGTCAAAACCCTCCCGCCCCACGCGAGGAACCCCTAAGCTAAGGAACCCTCTTGGAACCTGAGGTCGTTTAATAGGTCGTTTAAGCCAAGGCAATCGCAGCTGGTGGCGAGGGGGCCTGGTCTAAAGCTAAGCCTTTGGGCAGGGACACAATGCACAAGCCAGCGCTGCAGACCGCCATGCGGGGGAAGTTGTCCCTGGTGAGCCCCTCCTTGTACCTGGGCAAAAGCCCTTGGGGCAGCAAAGTTCAGCTTGGAAAACACGGAGCCCCCGTAGGCGAGGTCTTAGAACTTCTCCGAAAAGGTCTTAGAAGGTTGTTGGAACCTTTCTGGGGGTAGGCTCCTAATGCCTGTCCTGACAAAGCAAAGAAGTTCCGCGAAGGCAAAACAGCTTGAAAGAAACAAAGGGACTTCGAGACCATTTTGAGACCATATCGAGGCCAGGTGAAAAACCTTCGAAGCAAGATAAAATCCCCAAGGCAAGGTAGCTGGAAAACACGCTGACCCAGGATTAACACATCCCTGGCTGACTTTGGGCGTAATCCTTGACTTTACTATTGTAAAACCTTGCCTTCAGCGACATAGTCGCGGCCGTAAGTTCCCATTGTTCCCCTTCTCTGGTCAACCCCCCCGCCCGATAGACAAAATATGCTCAGGTGATATCCCCAACAGCATGCGGTGCGCTTTCCAGTGCTCACACCACCTTGCAAACCTCGTGGAACGCTCGTGGAACCCTGGTGGAACCCTGGTGGAACCCTGGTGGAACCCTCGTGGAACCCTCGTGGAACCTTAGGGCCACCCCGGACCACCCCG